GAATCGTTCTGACCTTGAGAATTTCGAGAGACTCGGCGTGCAGTTTGATGGCCTTGGTCGTCTCCACAACATCGAAGTCGATGGTCACCACACCCTTGAACCTGAAGGTCTGCAAATTTGGTTCCAGGACCAGAGTGTACTTGAGAGGCTTCACACTCTTTGGGAGCAACACCTTGCTCTGCTCGACCGCCATCCTCTCTCTCTCAAATCTATGCTGTTCGAGCTCTTGATCTCCTGAACTGGGTCGGCTGAGAAAGAGATGCAGAGCCAGACACACGAAGATCAAGCTCCACTTTCCCCTTTCTTCACGCGAGGAAACCATGAGTCGCCCACTTGAACACACCAACGACAACGACAACGTACGTCGACTTGTTTGTATATCCTAAACTGGGGTACGCAACTCTCCTTTTGTCTCAATCACAAACACCTACCATCCACACATACGTCTCAGCGCTCTACGCACTAAGCACTAACCACTAAGCACGATGATCGGCAGCCCAGCCGCCCGGCCGCCCTGCGACCAGATCGGARGTCATCAATCACCCACAATACCGACGATGATCCGCACACAGCTCATCTGCATTTGATCACAGGGAAAAAAAAACGATTCCCAAGGAGCCAGTCGCCAGTGAGGTCMCAGGTCATTGAGCCAGAACCTCGTCTCGTCTCCGGCGACCTGCCTCGGTCGCTGGTCCRCGTTCTAATCGGGCCAATCTGKAGCTGAGGACCGAAGTCGCGGTAAAAGGCGACACTCCGACAAAACGACTTTGGACTGAATTCTGCCGCAATCGCCGGCCAAATACGTACTCTGTAGACTTCACTAACCGGGGAAGACGGAAAGACCTGAAGTCGGTGTCTTTGTCCGAAGGACGATGGCCGTAGATGGTTGGCAAGAGAAGCTGGAGGGAGCGTTGCTGTATCCAAGGAACCGTTTTAGGTTCCACGGGGCCTCGCTGCACTACTCTAGACTCTCGAAATATTTCGAGAGTTCGTCTAGCTATTGTCAGAGAGGCGAGACTCTGGAAATAGCCGCCTTCGCTGCCCTCTCGCCGCGGGGACAGGAGGTCCACTCTCGAAAAACGAGCCCGTCGGCGGGCAACTCCCGAGGACACTTGTGAATTCCTGTTTTGCAGGCGGGCTACTCTCCACCTTTCGAGAGTGGCCATATAGGGCCTCCCTGCACTACTCTAGATTCCCCAATTTTCGAGAGTGGCCATATAGGGCCTCCCTGCACTACTCTGGATAGGGAAACTCGCGAAACCCGATCGAGAGCTGTCAGAAGCCACACATATAATGCAACTCTCTAAATGTAGAGTGCCCCGCCTGCAAAGTTGCCCACCGACAGACTTGTTTTTCGAGAGTGGACCTCCTGTCCCGGCGGCCAGACTTTGTCCCSTAGCRCAGTGGTGCTGCTCTTCTGTAGAGTAGGACGACGCCAAGGGTTTGGAGAGTTCACCTAGTGTAATAGTTGGTAGAGTAAGTGCAGCGAAGGCGGGTATTTCGAGAGTCTCTCCTCTCCGACAATGCTAGCCRAAATTCTCTCCTCTCCGACAATGCTAGCCGAAATTCTCTCGTCTCCGACAATGCTAGCCGAACTCCCGAAATATTTCGAAAGTCTAGAGTAGTGCAGCRAGGCCCATAGAGTGCCCGCTGACAGCTCTCGACCGGGTYTCGAGAGTTTTCCGATAGAGAGCAAGTGCAGAGACATCCCACTATTGAAAATTTGAGAGTCTAGAGTAGTGCAGCGACGTCCCTTTTATGGGTTAACTATTAGGGCCTCACCACACCACTCTCCAAATCTGAAAAAGACAAAAATGTGGCGAGCGCATCTGGCTATGTTCTAGCAGGAAGTTCATTCTCATTTTGCACATTTCGAGAGTGGTGGGCGATGCCCATTTCGAGAGTGGTGTGGCGATGTCGAAACCGTGAAATATTCGCCAGCTGTCAGACTATTTTTATAGACATTCACCGTTTCGACACAAAGGCCCCCTTCGCCACACCGTTTGTCAAAGACCCATGATAAGAAAAGGAACTTTAGTTGAGGCAGCGACAGTAACCCCACCCTGACAGGTGTCAAAATCGACACATCCTTCACAACCTCCCTTCGGAGATGTTGAACTCGATAAGCTGCAGGTGGGTCGTTCCACACCCATGTCTAAACCACTTCTCTGACAACTGACAAATGTGGAAGTGTTTCGACATTTTCTCTTCGACAGAATGTAGAAAACTCCAGATATTGGTGTCGAAAACACTTCGACATTTGTCAAAGAAGTGTTTGAGACATGGGTGTGGTACGGCCCGTGGGTGTCAGCACGAAACCCACGCCTTTTTTTTTTTTTTTTTTTTTTCTTGAGACATATCCAGAGGTGACCGGCCCTGGGTAATTTGAGATTGTTATGGAAGTTATTATTGTAGATTATATGTCATGATCATGACTTATTGCTGTCTCTTATACACATCTAGATGTGTATAAGAGACAGGAGTAGGACGACGCCAAGGGTTTGGAGAGTTCACCTAGTGTAATAGTTGGTAGAGTAAGTGCAGCGAAGGCGGGTATTTCGAGAGTCTCTCCTCTCCGACAATGCTAGCCGAAATTCTCTCCTCTCCGACAATGCTAGCCGAAATTCTCTCGTCTCCGACAATGCTAGCCGAACTCCCGAAATATTTCGAAAGTCTAGAGTAGTGCAGCGAGGCCCATAGAGTGCCCGCTGACAGCTCTCGACCGGGTTTCGAGAGTTTTCCGATAGAGAGCAAGTGCAGAGACATCCCACTATTGAAAATTCGAGAGTCTAGAGTAGTGCAGCGACGTCCCTTTTATGGGTTAACTATTAGGGCCTCACCACACCACTCTCCAAATCTGAAAAAGACAAAAATGTGGCGAGCGCATCTGGCTATGTTCTAGCAGGAAGTTCATTCTCATTTTGCACATTTCGAGAGTGGTGGGCGATGCCCATTTCGAGAGTGGTGTGGCGATGTCGAAACCGTGAAATATTCGCCAGCTGTCAGACTATTTTTATAGACATTCACCGTTTCGACACAAAGGCCCCCTTCGCCACACCGTATGTCAAAGACCCATGATAAGAAAAGGAACTTTAGTTGAGGCAGCGACAGTAACCCCACCCTGACAGGTGTCAAAATCGGCACATCCTTCACAACCTCCCTTCGGAGATGTTGAACTCGACAAGCTGCAGGTGGGTCGTTCCACACCCATGTCTAAACCACTTCTCTGACAACTGACAAATGTGGAAGTGTTTCGACATTTTCTCTTCGACAGAATGTAGAAAACTCCAGATATTGGTGTCGAAAACACTTCGACATTTGTCAAAGAAGTGTTTGAGACATGGGTGTGGTACGGCCCGTGGGTGTCAGCACGAAACCCACGCCTTTTTTTTTTTTTTTTTTTTTTCTTGAGACATATCCAGAGGTGACCGGCCCTGGGTAATTTGAGATTGTTATGGAAGTTATTATTGTAGATTATATGTCATGATCATGACTTATTGAGCTTATGCTGTGACAGGTATGTTGAGAGTTTATCGTGAAATTGAGGGCCTCAACCCTGATAAGCATCGTAATTATGAATGTCAGCTATGAAACCCACGCCACTTCGGAGGCCGCCAATTTTTTTTTTCAACGCTGGGCCTAGCCGCACAGCACCTCCGAGTTTTGTTTGTGGCGGCAAAAACTTTCTGCAAGGTTGGGGTCGTGTACTAGCAGTTTAAACCACTAGTACCTTTGCCGCTTCGGAAATGAGGGAAAACGCCAGTCCCTGAAGAATTCGGAGGCCGGGGCCGACGACGGCTGAAAAAAAAAAAAAAGGATTCTGTACAGATAAGAGAGGCGGTTGTACAAGACCTTCTTCCCCTGAACATAACACAAATGCGTTGTATTCGAGTGTTCCAAAGAAACTGGTTTTCTCAAAGTTAGGCGCTGATCCCACAATACACAAAAAGAGAAAAAACCACGAAAGTCCCTAAAAACAAGGCAACGGGTCGGACGGGGCGGAAAAGCAAACTCGGACCCCACACGAACGCGATCCGTAAGCCTTTCCCAAGGACTCCGGCGGGTTTTGTTGGCCTTCCACGGTGACGGACATTCCTGTGGACCACCGTATGGCCTGGCCTCCCCAAGTGGGTGACATGGCATCTGCCAACGGCCAGGAGAGAGTGGAACCTGGCCCATTTTCACCACGGGCGGACATCGGAAAGGCCGACTCATTTTCGAAGGCAGCTTTTTCGGTAGGGTTAGGGGTCCTCGAGCTTTCCATTTTGTGTGGAGCCGWTGGGCCGTCCATCACAGACTTCGCACCACGTACACAAAAACCGAAAACGTACCCCTAACAAAGCGTCGYGCCCTCCTACATCGGAAAGTTGAGGGATCCACATTTCTCAACAAAATTTTCCAGTTTACCCACTGTCGGAT